TACCCCTCACAGGGTGTGTTTATCCAACTGTGAGGTGGACAGTGTGTCCAGAAGGATCCTGTGAGAGACAGTATTGAAAGCTTTGCTGAAATCCAGAAAGATCACTTCATCTGGCCTCCCTTGATCAACCAGGTGGATGACCTTGTCATAGAAGGAAATCAGGTTTGATAAGCAGGACTTTGCTCTCATGAAGCTGTGCTGGCTGTGACCAATAACTGTGTTGTCTTTCAGGTGTTTTTCAATCCCTCCCGGAATAATCTTCTCCATAACTTTACCAGGCACTGAAGTGAGACTGACAGATCTGTAGTTTCCAGGGTCCCCCTTCTCGCTCTTCTTGAAAATCGGGACAATGTTCACCAGCTGTACTGGGTTTGCATGTCTGGTTTGTGCAGCCACACTTACTGCTGTAATAAAAGTTAAACTTTCCGACAAACCCTTCCCTGCATAGTGATATTAATGAGAGTAACAGCTGGGGCTTCAACTCTTCACTTTCCATGATCTTGACCACCCAGCAAGCTGTTGGCCTGCACAGGGAGATGCTGGGCCCAGTTTCCTGTGTAGGTTGCAGATTCACAGCAAACAAACTCTATTTTGAGGGGGTGGCAGATGTGTCATGTTAGGGAACAGGAGCAGAAAGTGGCAACACTGCTGAGAGGGGACTCTGTTGCTCAACTGCAAGAAAATTGTGAGGAGGAGAATGAAAGACTTAAGATGGAGCATCATCCAGTGGCATTTCATGTTATGTGGGAAGGATATCTCCCCCTCTCTTCAGCTGAAGTGTCACCATAGGCATTTTTGTTAAATTCCTAATAAAGGAAGAGAGCTTCACCTCTGGAATGCAGTGTAAGAGCATGTCCCATCTACCTCCACCACAGGACAAGGGCGAGACCAGGACAGGTGTCTGTAACATCACATGTGGCAAGGAGAATAATTGGTTTATTTTCTCTTCTGCTGCAAAACCAAGGGGGTATTACATAAAACCAGCCATTGGCAGGTTCAGAAAACAAACAAAAAAAAAACCTAAAGAAAGGGAAAAGGAAGTTGATCTTCACACAACATCTTGTCAAAGGGCAGATTTCCCTGCCAGAGCACATTGTAGCCTACTAAAAGTTTATATGGGTTCAAAGAGAAACTGCACTATGTCTAATGAGGACTATCAGGAGCCTGACATGATTATTATGGAAAGATTTAGAGGGCTGCAGAAGCCCTATAGGACCATCGAGTCCAACCATTCCCACAGCACTGCCAAGGCCACCACTAAACCATGTCCCAAGTGCCACATCCATGTGTTTTTTTGAACACTTCCAAAGATGAGAACTCCACCACTGCCCTGGGCAGCCTCTTCCAATGTCTGACTACTGTTTTTGTGAAGAAATTTCCCCAATATCCAACCTAAATCTCTCCTGGCACATCTTGAGGCCGTTTCCTCTTGTCCTGTCACTTATTACTTGGGAAAAGAGCCCAACCCCCCTGGCTCCCCCCTCCTGTCAGGGAGTTGCAGAGCCAGAAGGTCCCCCCTGAGCCTCCTTTTCTCCAGGCTGAGCCTCCCCAGCTCCCTCAGCTCCTCCTGGTGTGCCAGCCCCTTCCCCAGCTCCGTTCCCTTCCCTGGATATGCCCCGGCCCCTCAATGTCTCTCTTGTCTGAGGGACCCAGAACTGCCCCCAGAACTGGAGGTGCCTCAGCAGTGCCAGCACAGGGATGGGCACTGCCCTGGGCCTGTAGCCGCACAATTGCTGGTACAGGCCAAGTGCCGTTGGCCTTCTTGGTAAGTCTCTCAGTGCTGCACTGTGGGGGTGTACTTTGGAAGTGTTACTATGTGCTTACACTACTTTTACATTCCTGCTCAAGATCTGCTAGTCGGCCTGCTGGAGTCAGAATGATGTCCCAAAGGAACCTGGGGCAGACCCAATATGGCTGGTCTTCTCACCTTTCTCCCAGTTAACTCGTTACATGTGAAGTTTTAGGTACTGCAACCTTAATTCTTAGGTTCTATGGTGCTTTAATAAAGTCTTCAGTCCATTTCTGTGCTGCCCATTTTTGTCCATATTTGTAGTAACCACTGAGTAAGGGAAGCCTTAAGAAATGTGCCCGTGAGAGAAAAACTGCAGTCATGGCTGGAGAACAAGACACAATACACCAAACCTCTTCTGTACCACATTTTAGCTGCTAATCTGAAAACTGCTTTATGAAAGATGGCAAGTACCACTGCCTTGATGCAATAAATGGCAATATGGATGTCACAAATATCAGCCACAAGTCTCAGCTTGCCTTACCTGCAGGACCTATGGCTTTCAACAGGTTGTACAGTTCAGTGACAGCCTTTTAGTGCTGGATCCCAATCTGGCCCGCACCCCAGGTGCTACTGCAGAGAGAAGAACCTGGGGGAGAGGCTGTGCTTCCTTGAGCCAGAAGGATGCAGACTTGTTTCCCTTGTCTGTGCTCATTGTTTTGGGATTTTAGGGCCCAGTGTTTAACGTTTTCTTCTCCCTCAGTTGTGACAAAGCCATAAGAGCTGGCTGATCCCAAAGCCATGCACACCCTTATTCCCATAACGGCTCTCATCTCTCCAAGGGTGGTCAAGTGAGGTCACTGAACCAGCAGAAAAATATTGCTGTGGAAAAGTTTTCTTGCCACCTATGCCCCTGGAGCGGGTTCCTGCAGAGCTGTGAGCAGCAGAGCCTACCCCAGGACGGTGGTGGCAAGGTGAGAGGGGGCTGATCCCCCTCACAGTGGCTGCCAGCAGTTGGCAGGACTGAGCCATAAGGCCAAGCCTGAACAAGGAGGGATATTCGAACACCTCATTTGGGGGCACTAGCAGAACTGAGAACAGGAGTCCGCTTCAGTTTCAGAGCGAATGGCACTGCTATGACCTTCTGCCCCATGCCAGCAGCCCACAGCAGTGCTGAGCATGGAGCTGGTGCTTCCAGCCCTGGATGGGACCTCTAGGGACAGCATCGCTGCCTCCCGAGGGGCTTCTCCTCCATCCTCTGGCACAGGTGTGACCGGCACGCCTGGGCTGTGCTCTGGGGTGGCATGGCCAGCTCTGTGCCCCGAGGCCGCCGATGGGATGTGACTCATCACGGCCCTGCAGCGGGGCTACCCCGAAAGAGTTAAGAGAGGGCTCCTCCCTCCCGGTACAGAGTCTCCTCCTGGGTGACCTTCCCAGCAGCCTCTGCTGGCTCTGCCCCAACCAAACAAAGAGGGCAGGAGCTTTTCAAAGAGCAGCCTCCCAAAAAGTTGGGTGCCGCGAAACCGGTCTGGGCGCGGCCCCGAGCAGGCGGCGGCGGCAGCGAGGCGGTGCCGTCGCCTGGGAGGATCCCGGCAGCCGTCGGCAGTCCCTGTACGTGGGTGCTCTGCCCCTCTGCTTCTGTGCACGGAGCTGGTTTGGGTGCTGGGAGCGTCACGGGGAAGGATGAGAGAAGCTCCGGCAGTGGTAGTTTGAGGGGGTGGGAGCACGGGGTGGGGTGTTGGCGAACCCCGGTGCCCGCGGCCGCGCCGGGGCAGAGGCGCCGGGGGCGAGCAGGGATGCGGAGGCTAGTGCTGCGCTGATGTTCAGGGTCGGGGCTGGGACTGGTGTGCCCGAGCTGAAGTGCTGTCCTCCAGCTGCTTCTTGAACTCAGAAACCTGCCCAGCTGTTTCCTAGCGGAAGTCCAGACCCCTTTGGATGCTGGGCGGTGGGTTTAAGGCAGCAGGTAACCACAAAGCTGCTCGGGCAAGACACCATGGACAAGCAGGAGAAGAAAGAACAGAGCTCCACCAGGGCTGCTTTTGACTCTTACCTCTGTGTTTTTCTGTCCCTTCCCTCCTGCACTTCCAAGCTGCTGAGTACAGGCTATTTACTGCCACTTCCTCAGGTGAACTGGTCTGCTTGTGATGTGGTTGGGACTAATGAATGTCTCTAAATGCTGCCTGAGGCTGAGTACCTGTCCTCTGTGTTGCATAGACTTGCAACTGGTGCTTCATTTGCCCTTCCCAATCACTGGCGTTGGGTTGTGGTGGTGTGGCTACAGATGGCTCTCCTTGAGCCCCACGAGCTCCAGGGGATCTGTGGGTCACTCTCCCCACAGCAACAGTGGCATTCATTTATCACGGTGAGGTGTGAGTACCCTGTACCAGGCATGGCTTAGCATTTGTAGGGATTGCAGTGCACTGGCTCAGCCTGCAGCCTCTGGATGCTGGTGCTTTCTGTGTGCCGGAAGATCTTTGGTCTCCCTCCCTGTTCAGTCTGACACTCCTTCTGCACCTGTATGAGGGTAAGGGTAGATGTGCTTCAGAGGATACAGCCTGTGTGGCTTCCTTAGAGGAATTGCACGGTGTGGAATTTGTCTTCTGAGGACTTGGAAACTTTTCATCCTGATGTGTAGTAACAGCATTTGTTATTGTTGCAGAGAATTGAGAGAGTTCCAATGATTGCACTGTCGAGTAGCTACATAGGTTTGCAACAGCAAAAATAGGAGATTTTGAGGGTTCCTCTCTAGTTTGCAGAAGGAGGTGAATTTATTAATTTAGCTGAAATACTTAAAGGTGAATTAAGTCTTCAGCCATAGCCTCTGAACACCTAGCCTGTCCTCTCTCGAGGTCTGAGGCTTTTCTTGCAGTGCACACTGGTAGCTAGTCCTTGAACAGGCTCAGGACTTCAGGACTGTCTGCCCCTGGATGTGCCAGTGCATACATTTGTGTATTTCAGTGCTCTTAACCTAAAACCTGTGCCAAGATGCCCTTTTTTCTCTGTTTTCCTGCAACACTTATATGCCCTGATGCTGTAGGAATATGCCTGCTCAATGTTAAACTTGGTCAAACATCCTGTTTTCACCATAAGGAACAAATATCATGGTACACTTTGCAGTAATTTCTTTGTTTCCTCTTCAGGCATGTGAAAGACTCTAGAAATTCAAGGTGTGCTTGTGGTTTAGCCAGTGCAGTTCTCTCTGCTGGAAGGGCTGCATCTTTGGAGAGCAGTGACTCAAAGTGCATAATGCTTTAAAGAGAGGCACAGGTAAAGACAGGGCCTTTACAACAACTTGGCATTTGTTGTTCTTGGCTGAATACTTAAATTCTCCTTGACAAATTCAGTTTGAGGGCATAGATGGATTTTGGGCCTGGATATGAAATCTAGCCTGTTCCTCTCCACAGGCCTTCCCAGGTGCTCTGTGAAAGCCTCTTGTTCCTTCAAGCTGTAGTTCCACAGTGCTTAATGTCAGGTTTGGATGCTCCAAATAATTTCTTAATACAAACCTGACCTTTACCAGGTACAGGCACAACATCACAACCATGCTGAATTTGTCAGACCAAGTAATATGGTGTTGAGGGAGACCTGTGGGTTTTGGGATGCAGGAGAGCTGATCCAACGTGAAGCCTTTTTGTTCAAAGCTATCAATCAGTGTGATTTTTTTACAGAGTCTCTGCTCTGTGCTGTGTGGCCTGGGACCTTTTCACCATCAGAGGGGATTTTCCTGTATTCCTGAAACTGCTCCTTTCCTCCCCTGAGATAACGGTACTACCAACACTAATACAGTTTTGTTACCCTGTGCCCCTAAACGTCCCAACATGCTCCTATTTATTCTCCCACTGTATCTTTATACTCTATTCCCCAGTGAGCTCCAGGCTTATACTGACATTGTCTGGGGCAAGAGCAAATATGTGTATCATCCTACTCACAATTGGTTTTGCAACCCCCCAAACAGTTAAAGAAACCTTGTGGGGATCCAACCTTCTTCAGTCTGCATGTTCTGCAAACCTTAAAGTAAACCCATGAATTTTTGTATTTTGCATTTGAGGATTTAAAGCTTGTGGGGATCCAACCTTCTTCAGTCTGCATGTTCTGCAAACCTTAAAGTAAACCCATGAATTTTTGTATTTTGCATTTGAGGATTTAAAGCATAGCCAGGCAGGGCTAGCTCCTCAACTGCTCTGAAAGCAGAACCTAAAGGAATGAGGCAGTTATCATGGGTGACAGAGCAAAGCAAGCTGTGGGCTCTAAAGAGCTCACTTCACACCCTGGGCCAGACAGCCAGACCTTTCTCTCTGCCATTCTCATGGTTGAAGTACAAGTTGGTTGAAAAGCTTCTTCTGAGGTTACCCCTTCAGAGGGGAACCAGCTCAGCTCAGGTGGCAGCAGCACTGTCTAAATCCATTTGGTCCATCAGCATTTAATAAAACCTGTAACAGAGCTGTTCCTTCACCAACTTTGCAAAGAAAGTTAGGGCTTGTAAGGTGGGATGCAGCTGTTTATGTGGCTGGTAACAGTCAGTGCTGTCAGATAATGGCGTTGCTTCCAGGATGCTTGGCAAGTCCCACAAAGCAGTGACACTGACTAAAATGGCAGCCTGGGAGAAATGGCCATTTTTCCCTGGCACAGATCTTCCTGCTTTGGCAATATTCCAGCATTGGACACCTAATACTGTTCATCTCTCTCCAAGCTAAGTTCCATTGAACAACATTGCCAGCTCATTGCCTTGCTTGGGGTGTCCTGTGCAGGGCCAGGAGTTGGACTCAAAGATCCTTGTGAGTCCCTTCCAGCTCGGGATATCCTGTGATTCCATGAGCCCCTTGTCATTACCTGTCTCCACAGAGCTAAGACTTTCCAGTCTGTCTGTACAGCAGTGAAAGTGTTCCCTATGTGAAGAGCCAAGAACTATCCATGTCCTTTCCAAGCTGTGCCAGGCAGGCACTGGAACAGGGCCCTGAGGGCAGGAAGCCCAGTGGAGGATTGCTGTACCAGTTGTTTGTCCTGCCCACAGCTGTGTACAGACCACAGTTCTCTGCAGGGTGAGGATTGGGGCATTCCTGGCAGACTTGCTCCTTTGCTCTACTTGATACACTTCCTGCTGTCTGAATCCATATCTGAATCCTATCCAGCACTGTCCTTCTTGTGCTTCTGGAGGATGATTTTAATAATTTTTTTCCCCTCTGAGGTGCTGCAGAGTGAAAAAGAACTTGTCTTGCCAGCTTCTGCAGTAGCTATTTAAAACTGTGGGAGAGCCATAAAACCAATGAGGATGGATGAGTGTCCCTCCCCAGTTGCTTGCAGCTGCTCCAGCTTCCCAATATGTGCTGGGGATCTGAGAAGGAGATCTGGAAACCAGAAGCAATGGAAAGGGTGGGAAGAGGACCTTGTTGGGCTGCCACCAGCCACAAGGCCCAGATCTGACAGATTTGTCTTGTGTTTCCCTACAAGGTCCATGAGGATCAATCCCCTTTTGCCAACTCTGAATCCATTAGGAGTGAATTTCCCAAGCCCTGGTACACTGGCCTTGCGCTGTACAAAGGTAAAGTTGAAAGGGAAGAGACATATCCACATCCAACTTTGTTGTTCACGATCCTACATGGCCCTTCTTAGGGCAGGAGTATTTTGCACTCAGAGCAGCACAGCAAGCCCTTGAGCCCAACATCCTTTGGGATGTTAACAACATAAAGTGTCTGTTTTCAGTTGTTGAGACCAGACAGGATGATTTGCATCTTCTTGCTCTGCATCTTCATGCTCCCTGTGGGTCACAGCTTTTCCTCCTCCCACTCCTCCGTCTCCTTCAGTCAAAGCAGTTCTCAGCATCAGCAGTTTGTCTCTCCAGTGAGACCTGTTGCTCCACCTCTGTACCTGCTACCCTGTGGCTGTGCTGCTCCTGAAATGGTGGGTGGGAGCCTGTTGCTCTGGTTCAGCCCATCTCTATGTAAGTGCCTACATCTCTCCAAGGCTGTTCCATCTCGGGGGCCAGGCTATTGTGCAGCTAACTCAGATGGTTGAAATAGCCACTGAGAAAACACAACCCCAGGGTAACCTGTGGCATGGCTGTTGAAAGCTTAACTCTTCCTTGCTTCAACCCAGCATGAATTTCGGAAACAGCTTTGCTTGTACCTCTGCAGGGTAAACACTGCCCATGTCCAAGCTGTAAGACAGAACGGAGAAGCCAATCTGCCCAGACACGAGTGAGCTCTGTGGTCACACAACTAATGTTTCGCTCTTGGGGAATTTGGCATTCAAACCCAGGTAATCAGGGCTGCAAAAGGACTGTGGGAGAAACAGGCAGCAATGGCTGGGGGTGTGTGTCTGTGTGTGCAAGCAGATGGGGGAGCTTTGCCCTGAGGGACTTGCAGGATGGACACTGGGGAGTTCCTCTCTCTCTCAGGATCACCTCCTGGAGCAGGGGCTTGTGCTGGCATAGAAACAAGTGGTGCAGAGGAAAAGCCTGTTTGCCCTAAGGCATGTAGTTAGGTAACATCACCTGGGTTGTAGGAAACTTGGATTCATGCTCTTCTTCCTCTTTCTTAGGGTTAGAGTTAGGTTAACCCTTAAATCCACTCTGTTCTGAAAGGAACTTGGGGATGTGTGGGAGTGCTGCCTTTGTTCTTCTCTCTTGAGGCTATTCCATTTTGCAGTATTTTCTGCTCCAGAGAGTGTGGGAGCTAAGGAAATAATCCTGGTGAGGAGAAGGGTGCTCCAGGCTCTGGGCTGTGCTTTGGTGGATATAGCTGCTTGCAGAATTATGGAACAGAAAGACTACCAGCAGCAATACCTGGGTAAAGCAGCTTTCCCAGCTACAACTAAGTACTTAAAAACTTCAGACACTGCAAGCATTCAGCAGCAACTGAAGAAAGAGTGGCTGATCTGAAATTTGGACAGACACCTAAACTGGCAGACTGGAGCAAAATTTCTGTTGCAGGCCTGGTGGTATAACAAAGCATGCAGCTGCTCACACAAAGGTGTATGTCCAGCTGGCTGGGTAAGGTCTCAGAATCCAAGCCATCAAAGGGCAAAACTTGGAGCCCGTGGTGCTGTGGGACAGCCCTCCCCAGCTGGAGCTGTAAGATGAGTCTTCCAGTCACTGTGTCTTCCCCCTGGGATTACCCATCCCACTGCAAAACAGGGGTGTGGGTGGGAGAGGACACTTGCAGACCATGAGGAATCACACTGGAGCCATCATGGCTTGCAGGGGAAAGATGTAGAATCTGGGATTGCCAAAGGACTTGCAGCTGTGGCCAGTGGTGGCACACAGTGTGACAGCTGGGGAAGTGGAGGCAAGAGGGATTTCGGAACAGGGGACTTACAGTGTCCACACTCAGCTCAGAGCACGTTGTGTGGACATGCCAAGCCAAGCTGACTTAGTGTTGCTGCTCTGTTTTAGAAGTAGCAAAGGCTGAGTCAGCCCAGAACAAGCTGTTCCAGGGACTTTATGGAGGAGATGAAACCTTTTCATGTTCCTGATATCCACAGAAATGGAAGGGGATCAAGGCAGAGAGTGAGCTCACACAATTGCAGTGCTGTAAATTTTCTTCCACGGATGCTCTTTTTCCCTGTTCTGCAAAACCACCTCTGGAATTAACTTCTCCAAGTGGCGTAAGAAACCTTCAGAGGAACAATGTCACCCCCAGCCTGCCCCTGGAAAGTGAAGGGAACTCCATTCCTATGCAAAATCACAGGTCTAGGAAAATCTCTGAATCCTTCCCTCTCACTGGGTTGATTTTTGTTTTTCCTTGTGGAAAAATTATTGGAGAGTAACAAACACCTCGAAGGCTAGGTGAGTGTAAAGGTCTCATCTCTGTGAATGTGTAACTTGATAAGCTGTGTGCATGGCAGAAGCTGCAGCTCCATGGGAAAAATCCTCTCTGGAGAGGGAGAAAAAAGAGAAGGTGATGGACTCAGCTGTGGAAATAGGGAGCACATTTAGTATGGGAAAAAAAACTTAGTGCCATGGCCTAGTTGACAAGGTGATGATCAGTCAAAGGTTGGACACAATAATCCAAACTAATTGATTCTGTGGTCTTGGAGGAAATTGCTGGAATACTGTATTATCTGTTGCTTTCACTGGCAGCCCTTTTCCCCTGACAGGGGCAGAGAGTAGCTGCTGTGCACTTTGTCCACCCTCAAGGTGTAAGTAGGGCCGGAGCTGGATTTCGATGTGCACTTCTGCCTGCACTCACCTCCTGCATCTCCTGCTCGCCAGTTGGACTCTGACCCACAGCTTCTCAGTGTCATTTCTGAAATGGCTTTCCAGATCTTGGTCTACCTCTGATCAGTAAATATATATTTTTTAAAAGCCTTGCTGCGGAGGCAAGTGCTGTTGTTGAAGCATAGGGAGCCTGGTGAAGCCTTGAGCATTGGTGATCTCCATGGAGCTGCTGCCTGCAGCTGTCCTGGCCAAACTCCTCATGCTGCTGCCCCTCCAGCCAATGAGGGGCTGTGGGGGAACACCCTGCATTGGGAATGCTGAGCTTATGTGGGGTTAGCGGGTGGTCTGTGCCTCCTGTGAGCTGTCCCCACACCCAGGAAGGCAGAGCAGGGCCGTGGGAGCTCTGTGGAGGGCTGGGAAGGTCTGGAGGGGGTAAGCATGTGAAGAAGGAGGGTGTTGGGACGGGGGGGGGGTGGTACACAGTGCATGACATCTTCAGTGGAGAGGGAGCTGGAGGAGATGCTGCGTGGAGTTTGCACATCTCCAAGACACTCTCATCATCCCCTTCCCTGTGGAGCTGGATGAGGGCTGCAGCCATGGGTGCCGGCTCTTCTGGCATTGATACAAATGGTATGTGTCTGTCCCCAGCTGCTCAGACACTCCAGTGTCCTCTGGCCATGTCTGGAAACACTCTGGGAGGAGGGCAGACTATCTTGCCAGGGCCCGAGCTCCTCATACCAGCAAGCCTCAAGGGGATGGTCTCCTTGTAGCATCTTCCCTTGGCATGGGGAAGGTTGAGAATTTCTTAGCTTTTCCTCTTGCTCTGCAATTGCTGTGTCTGCGTCCAGGAACGTCTGTTTTCCTATATCCACTCCCCCAGCTCTTATCTGCAAGGTCCCTAATGCACACAGCAGGGCATGGCATGGCCTTTAGATGCAAACAGAGCTGGATCTCTGGAGTTAATGTCTCTCTCTTTTGCCATAGAAGAAGTAAAATGCAGAGGGACACAACTCCTCTGTTAAATTAAGTGACTCCATTTTCCTGAGGCTGATGTCCAATAGTCTCTGTGCCTCCTTGGCCAAGATAACATATTGTTGTCCTTTTTAAGATCCACATGTGTCTAGGGAAGCGAGGTTTGGAAAAGGCTCCTCTATCACATCTGCTTGGCAGCCACTTGATGCAGCCTCTATTGCTAATTCAGAAATTGTTTTGCTGCCTTATGGGAATTCTTGAAGGATATTTATTTCAGTGAAATGAAACCCAAGAAGTTTGTCCTTTAGGCAGCAGCTGCAGCATTGAGGGTCCAAGAAATGCCTGGAGATTAAGGAATTTGGTAGGAAATGGAAAAAACCCTCCACCATAGGTGTATAGGCACATACATGTGCATGTTTACACATACATAGGCGTGAAGGGGGAAGCACAGGAACTGCAGCCATTACATTTACAGTTGTGCCTTCTTTGATTTTGCTTCTCCAGAGGTACGGGACAGTGCTCTCTCCAGACCCAAGGGCAGGCTCTGCAGCGTCAGCAGCTCCCATGCAGGAGTTTCTACATGGGCATCTCCAGTTCTGCTTGCTGTGACCTTCCAGGCTGCCAAGGAGACGTGAGGCTCTGCCGGGGACCTGCCAGCCTTGTGTGATGAGCAGCCACTTGCCAGGACTCACACCAAGCTTCCCGGGACACTGAGCTGCTGCTTGGCATCCTGACCGCTTCTGATTCCTTGCTGTGCTGCTGGCAGGGTGGGATTGATGTCCAGTTTGGGACGCCTGTCACCATCCTCTGTGCCCTTGGCAGGCTGGGGGACCAAGCTGGACCCCTCACTCTAAGGGGGCTCTGTGTGAGCGAGGGACGGGTTTGGGGCTGTCCATATTCATCCTGGTGGGAAGAGCCACCTCCTTTCCATCTGGGAACCGTGTCACTGCTGGAAGCTGGAAATGGCACCACATGCACCACGGGCCAGAGCCAGCAGCCTGGCAGCAGGGCAGTAGCTGAGCCTGAGCACCATCCCCCAGGGCTTGGAGCTGCCTGGGGGGCTGCCGGAGTCCCCAGCACAGGCGTGCCCCAGGGATGTAGGAGCCGGGAGCAGGAGGGGCCCTGCAGCCATGGGCCGGCTGGACGACCATGCCAAGAGGAGGATCGTGGAGCTGCGCCGGGCTGGGCTGAGCTTCCGCAAGATCAAGAAGGTGCTGGAGCTGGACGACATCCGGGTGACGCCGCAGGCCGTGTACCTCTTCCTCAAGAGGAAGAGCGTAGAGCCGGGGCTTGCAGCACCTGGCTGGGACAGGGACCAGCCCTGGCCTCCACTGCAGGGGCACGACGAGGCTGAGCCCCCCAGGCTGCTGGGCACCCGGCCCCCTGCAGTGCCCCTGGGGGATCCCACAGGCAGCCAGGACACCAAGGAGAGCATACAGATGGTTAGTGTGGCCTCCCTCTGCAAGGACGATGGGCAGCTCGGGGACACCCTGCCCGTGGGGCCGGCCCCTGGGAACGGTAAGGCCTGGCTCCCTAATGGGGGCACCATGGCCACCCCCGGCAGTGCTGGGCTGGGGAAAGGGCCCCATTCCCCACTGGGGAGCCCCCAAGAGCCTCCTTTTGAGGCATTTCTCTCTCTATCCCTTGCAGGTGACGACAGCTCCACAGGCACCCTCTTGGCTCCGGGGAGCTGCCCCGCTCTGAGGGGCTTGGCCACCCCCCATCAGCCACTGCCCAGCCGAGGGCGGCTGGTCACACCTCACACCAGGAACCCAGCCCTGGTGGTGAAGAAGACAACTGTGGACAGGGCTGTTCTCTGGCAGAAAAAGGTAGGATGGCAGGATGGGGGAGCCCATCTGCTCCATCCAGGAGCCGGTGTGGAGCTGCCATCTGGGCAGCTCTGCACAGCGCCCTGCTGCATCCACACCATGTGCCGGGACAGGCTGTTGGGTGTGGAAGGCTCCCAAAAATGCCCCCCAGCCTCTGTAGGCTGCTTTCCCTAGCAATGCTTGACTGTGGCACTTGGTGAGCGTATCTGGGTAGCCCCTCTGGGGGGGCTGAGGCTGTGGGCTTGCTGCCCACCCACCTGCAGCCAGCACTCACTGCTGCCCTTGGCGGATGCTGGCCATGGAGATGCCAGTTGCTGCCAGCCTTGGCCTCCAACCTGCAGCTCACAGACCTCTCTTTAAGGCCTAGTGTCAGTACCAGCTCAGGAGATTCTCCCAGCCACCCAAGAACACCAGCAGCTGAGTGGCTTGGTGCCACACCAGGAGATGAAGGGCTGTGGACACTCCAGGACAGAGTGACACAGTCAGGATGGCCACCTTCCATTTGCCATAATCCCTAACATGTACCCCCCTGCCTTGCCTTGCTACAAGACCCCCAGGATGTGGCCACACATATGTTGTCTCAGCAGGTCCTTGTCCTTCTGGCCATCCTGCCACCATGGTGGGCACACAGCCACCTGGCCAGCCCCATGGCCATGCCCAGCTCTGCTGGCAGCAGTGGTGACCATGGGACAAACCTCCATGACACTGCAGTCCCCACACCAGCCCCAGGCAGGTTCCAGTGTGGCTGTGTGGCTGCCCCAATGCTCTTGCCCCTCCAGAGCATCTCTGAACTCCAGAGGCTTCACTGATGGGCAGTGCTGTTGCCACATGGAGGGTGGTAGGATGCTGGCACTTGCCTTTCTGGCCATGACATGCTGGGAACAAAACAGCTGTGAGTTAGGCTGGGCCTTCATCCATGACCCTGTCTCTGCTCAGAGAGAGCAAAAGCCTTCTCCAGCCCACTCAGATGTTTGCCAAGAGCCCTTGCCAGCTGCTTGAGAGGCTACCCTGGCATTCAAAACCAGCATGTGATCCCTCACAGGGAGCAGAACAGCCCTTTGCCTCAGGGTGCAGTACAAGAAATGGAAGGGTTAGAAAGCAAAGGCCACGAGATGCTGTTCCTGTGCCTGCAGAGAGCAAACACAAGCCTGGCTGTAGTGTGGGCAGCCGCACTGCTGTCTGGCAGTATCCTGGCTCAACACATGCTGACAGGACACTTGGCACCAGGGACTCTGGAGTGGGGTGGGGATGAAGTGCAGCTCATGCTAAGGTCTAGAGGTCTGCAACAATATGATGGCTTTCCCTGAGAGCTTTTCTCTGAGCCTTGTAGCTAGTGCAGAATAAATCTTTCTCTTGTTAAATGCCATCAAAGGGGCAGCTGATAGTGTTTCACCTTCCCTACTCCAGGTCAAAGATGCCAGCACTCAGACTGCCCTGCTGAACCCCGTGGGTCCAGAAAATCACCAACTTGCTTGGGGTGTGCCAGTGCCCCCCTCTGCTCCCAGTTCCCAAGCCATTGCTGAGAAGCTGGACACTGTGCAGACGGAGGTGCAGAGGCTGAGCCAGGCCCTGCACGTGGTGCTGGAGCAGCAGTGCCGCCTGGAGCGCCAGCAGGAGCACCAGCAGCGGCTGCAGCAGGAGGTGCTGATGACGCTGCAGCAGCTCAGCTCGACCGTGAGCCACGGGGCCGTGCCAGCCAACCAGCCCCGCGGCCCCTTCAGCAGCATGGCCGAGCCCTCGCCCACCCTGCCCAACTTCAGCCAGTTCAAGATGGAGCTGATGTGAGCTCCCGCAGTGCCGGTGCGCTCCAGTGCTGTGCTGATGGAGCCGGGAGGAAGAACCACCTCTCAGAGGCTGCCCGAGGATTACGTGCAGCACCCAGCAGAGAAGGTCCCTGGTGCCTCGTGTTCTCAGCCCTACTGACTGGAAGGGGCTGCCTGGCACAAGGGGCTGGGCAGTGGAAGGCTGAGGCTTCACTCCTGTGCTGCTCATCCTGGCTGGTGCTGGAGCTGGCTGGCGGCCCCCTAAGAGGGACACAGCAGGGAGGTGGGACTCAAAGGAAACATGAGGCTTCCTGCTCATGAGGGTCAATCACAAGTGCTGTGATGGTCAATCACAGGAACACCTCCTGTCCTCCCTCTGCAGAACGTTGTTCAGTAAAAACCTATTTACACCATGATTCAGATCCAGTGGTGGGATCTCTGCATTTTCCCTCGCTCCAGCAGTGAGTAGGCTGGGTCTGTCTGGGTCACTAGCACCATGGGTGGAACTGCACAGGGTGCTCAAACCCACGAGGTGAGACCAGCACTCCACACATGAAGGGTGTTACTGGAACCTGGCATCAGCTGCTGCACCATTAGGGATGTGGAGGAAGCAATCTTTTACTGAGCAGGTTCCACCCTCCTCACCCCACATTCTCAGCAGATCCAGAGTCTGGCACTGCTGCTGCCTATTGTCTGGCAGGACTACACCTGGGCAGGAGCTGATGAACTGGGTGTTCATCTCTCCTCCAACCCCTTTTTCTGGGCAGGACTGTGATCCACAGCAGCAAGGGCTGTCCCTGGAGCAGGCTGCTGGTGCTGCAGAGCTGCTCAAGCAGAGCAGAGCACGATGCTGAGAACTCCTTGCCTGGACCAGAAAGGCTCAGGGAGGCTGATGTACCCTAGCTGCAGCAGTTAAGTCCAGAGAGACCAGATCTGTGGAAAGGTCTGATGGGGGTGGCCTTGGCTCATCACCCGGCAGCGAATCCTGAGAGGAGACAGGGCATGTCCTTCCTCCACATCAGCCAAGCAGCCTTCCGTGTCCAGGCACCACACTTAGCACAACCTGTGCCTAGAAGTCCCCAGCCTGTTTCTTTGGTCTCCTGGAGTCTGAGGTTAAAATTAAGAAGGGTAAGAAACAATTCGGGTATTTCTATGCACACACAGACCAATGTAGGTGTATGTGTACACCTGGGCATTTTGCAGGTCTGTGCAGCAGCCCCACTGGGTGGGGGAGCTGAACAGCCCCTCTGCCCCCCTGAGACACATCCCTGGCCCCAGGGCTGTCAGAGCCAGCTGTGCCCAGGAGCATTAGAAGTCTGCTGCGATCTCCCCGCACTCATTCATTTCGATGTTGGTGTAATTTTGGGGACGTCTGAAAAACAACAGATGGAGAAAAACACAAGGTCAGTTGCTCTGCTCTTTTGCACAAGGCAGCTAATCTGCACCTCAGCTTTGCACTGGAAAAGGAGAGGCTGGATGGGCAGCCCTCAGCAGCCCTCAGCGTTTACTAAGATCTCTGTCAATGTTTCGGAGAAAAACAGGAGCAGAACAGCTGTTTCCCCAAACCTGCTGAGTTTGGATGACCTCCCTGCAGCCCTTGGCCAGTTGAGGTCAGACATGGGAAGGTTTCCAGCCCATGCAACAGTACCAGCATAGACACCAGGAACCTGCTGCCTTCCTGTGCTGTGGGGCCACATCCATGTGAGGTGGACAGATCAAGAATGCACCCAACCCTCCAGCTGCTTAAAATCAGGGCTGCTGATCACAGCAGCCCCAAGGGGGGGGACATCTGTGATCTTTTCTAGTTGAGTGCCAGCTGCAGCACATCATATCCTTCAGCTATGGCTGCAAACACCCAGGCTGGTGAGTGAGCCTGTGGTCCCGTTGTCATGGCCACCTGGGCTGATACCAGGGCACAAGTGCCTCCTCACAAACATTAGGAGGCAGCTGTAACTCCAGAGAATGACGCTAACAGTGATTCCATGAAAGAACAGGCCCTGATGGAGAGGTGCCCCTGAGTCACCCTGCCTTGAAACGCCACCCCATCTGCCCTGCCCCACAGCCCTTCCTGTGCTGTTCTTGGGTCACAGAGGACAGACAAGCCCCCCATGCCTCCTGCCTCCCCACCCGGACCTGGCCCAGTGCTGCTCTCCCTTCTCATCGATGGTCACTATCAAAAAGGTCCCCATTCCCTTTCGGGCACAGTTCATGCCCAAAATTGCTCTCAACATAGAGCTAGCAGGCTCTCACTCCTGCCCAGCCTGCAAAGGACAAGGAACGCTTCTCTCCCCAGAGCCACCCCCACGAGGTGCCCAATTTCCACCATCTCTCCCTATTTCAGTTAAAGGCGGGAGGAAAGAGAAGGAACACTCAGGTTGTGCCTCTGTCCAGGGGCGGGCGTGAGACGGAAGGAAACCCACCAGGAATGGAAGAAACAGCGGGAAAAAGAATTGACAAATCCCCCCAAAGCCGGGCAGGAGCCCGGCAGGCTGGGAGGGCAGGGGCGGGACTCCCGAGGGGAAGGGGCAGCGGCCGGAGGGGGGTGAGAGGGGATGGGGATGGGGATGGGGATGGGGACGGGAGAAGCCCCGTCCCTCGGGGGCTCCGCTCGCCCCTCACACTCACCGCTCGCCGCCCGGGGCTGGTCAGGGGAAGGCGGGGCGGGGGGAGGAGAGGGAGAAGGAGCAGGAGGAGGAGCAGGAGAAGGAGGAGGAGGGGGAACCGTTCACGGGCTCCATCCCCACGGTGAATTCACTCGTTCGCCTGTCCCAGAAGATCCCGCAGCGGCTTCTCCCAGCTCTTCTCCCGAGCTGGGGTAGATGGATGGATGGATGGACGGATGGACGGATGCACTCGCATCCCAGAAAGCCCACTGTAACCTGGCTACGTCCCCATGGCTGGCAGGGCAAGGGAGAGGATTCTGCCCCTCTGCTCCACTCTGATGAATCCTCACCTGCAGAGCTGCCTCCAGCTCGGGGGTCCCTGCACAGGAAGGACATGGAACTGCTGGAGCGAGTCCAGAGGAGGCCACGGAGATGCTCCAAGGGCTGGAGCCCCTCTGCTCTGGAGCCAGGCTGGGACAGCTGGGGGTGTTCACCTGGAGAAGAGAAGGCTCCCGGGAGACTTGAGAGCTCCTTCCAGGGCCTAAAGGGGTTCCAAAAGAGCTGGAGAGGGACTTGGGACAAGGGCCTGGAGTGACAGGACAAGGGGGAATGGCTTTAAACTGAAAAGGGGGAGATTTGCATTAGGTATTGGGAAGAAATTGTTGGCTGTGAGGGTGGTGAGGCCCTGGCACAGTTGCCCAGAGAAGCGGTGGCTGCCCCATCCCTGAAAGTGTCCAAGGCCAGGTTGGACGGGGCTTGGAGCAGCCTGGGATAGTGGAAGGTGTTCCTGCCCATGGCAAGAGAGTGGAATGAGTGTTAAGGTCTCTTCCAACCCAAACTATCCTGTGATTCTACGGATGGGTGGACAAAGGGATGTTCAATGGTTTCATATCCATTCCCTCACCCTCCTGGACTCCCCAGCCAGGACTAACACAGCTGTGCTGTAGGACACTGTGTCTGTCCTTGCACCAGCCTCAGAGACTGAACCAGGAGCTGGAGGGTGGTCCCTGCATGGTGATGCCATGGCTGTGCCCAGCCTGCCCAGAGCTTTCCCATGGACAGATCCCTGCAGTCTCCATGAGCTACTGTTCTGTTTCTGCTGTGCAGGATCCATGCCCAGCCCGTCCGGGTGCAGAGGGAGGAGCAAACACCTCTGCACATCTCCCAGCATGGGAGTCTGGGAGAGGGGGTCTTTAAGCCCCCTCAGGTTGCGCTGGGATCTCATTCCCTGGAAGATGGGGAGGAGGCAGCCCTGGCCTTTCTCTTCTTCCCCCTCCCCATCAACTCCCAGGTCCTGCTTCCCCAGATCTGCTCATGGGGCTGCCCAGCCCCTTTCCCTGGATCTCCACATGGGAAGATGTGTGTGGCTCCTGCCTCGCTCCGCTGGACATAAGGACTGTGGCAGGAGGAGGTCCCGCAGATCTCACTCGGGGCTGGACTTGGTGCCAAACACCCATTTGACTCTGCAGCTACTCCTGCAGCTATCCTAGATCTGACTCCTGCTCGTGACTCAGCAGCCTACTGTCTTTCTCTTCCTTCTCACTGGAAACCAGAGCAAGGGGGGAGCTCTGCCAGAGGGGTCACGTTTTCCCCAGGTTTTGCCAGCTGGGCTGAGGGGACCTGTGCCCCCACAGCCTCAGTGTCTTCATGGGATCCACAGCTATTCCTGGAGGAGAGGCTGTGTCACAAGACACAGCCCCTACAGTGCTCCTTGGAGTGTAAAACAGTACAAGGGCATCTGCCCCCAGGGAGGGAGGAGCAGGATGAGCTTTCCCAGTGCCCCCAGTGCAGCCCCAGGCAGTGTGAGTGACTGCAGAGTGGTGCTGGGGCAGTTCCCACCCAGACTTGAGCAAAATGAACTCCTGGAGCACACGGAGCTGAGTGCCGGCTCTGAGTGCTCTGTGGGACTTCTCCATGACAGAGCAGTCAAGCCAATAATCCTTCTGAGATTGTTTATTCAGTTGAACGATCACATTTTGGGGTCGTGATTTTGCAATCATGAGGCTCTGGAATTACAAAGGGTGAAGGAAAGAAAACACCCTTACTCCTTACTCATCCCTTGCTGGATCCATGTGGTGCAGTCAGGACTCAGTAACTCCCTGTCATGCTTGTAATGGGTCCCAGACCTGCTCAGGTCCCTGGGGGCTCCCACTCACTTCACCCTCTGCTCACAGACTCATATCCTGGTGTGAGCTTCTGGAGCCCCAGGAAGCTCCTTCCTCCCATTTGTGCCTTTTCCATGCACATCATGGCTCAGCAGCCTGTGGGGAAGCATAGCCAGGTGGGATTTGGAGACGGACCAAACATCCTGCCACGAGGTGAAAGGAGCCTCTTTGGAGCCTGAGGGGCTGCTGCTCATGGAACGAGCAGGGACTGGTGGGGGAGATCTGGGCCCCCAGAGGGAAGAAGTTCAGGGGTGATGGGCACGACCTCCTGTCCATGGCCACTGTGCTCAGGCATGTGGCTGATGCCGTGATTCCCTTTGTGTCCTGTGTGGCTGGGAGGTGTGCCTGTGGTGCCAGGCAGCTCTGGGCCATGGAGGCACCAGGAGGAAAGCTGCAGGTCTCACTGCTTTGGGGGTCCATGTCTGCTGGGTGGGCTGGGCACAATCATGGCTGTGCTCTCCAACCTCCAGTGAGCTCAGAGTCAAGCTTGTACAGCTTGTACAGCCCTGCCAAACCTTCACTAGGGCAACACATCTCACTGCTGGAATGTGCATCCTACCTGAACCAGCTCTGCTGGTCAGGCTATTAAAGGCAGGAAACCCCAGGAAAATGCTGTATAGGGGTGGAGTTTTCTCATGGCAGAAATAC